CGAGTATTCAGATGGCTCCATATGAGGCTTTGTATGGGAGGCGGTGTAGTTCTCTAATTGGTTGGTTTGAGCCGGGCGAGGCTAGGCTATTGGGTACAGACTTAGTACATGATGCTTTTGACAAGGTGAAGGTGATTCAGGAGAGGCTTCGTACAGCGCAATCGAGACAAAAGAATTATGCTCACAGGAAGGTTCGGGATGTGTCCTACATGGTTGGTGAGAAGGTTCTGTTGAAGGTTTCACCCATGAAGGGTGTTATGAGGTTTGGGAAGAAAGGTAAATTGAGTCCTCGATTCATCGGGCCTTTTAAGGTACTTCGGAGGATTGGGGAGGTGGCTGACGAGCTTGCTATGCCACCCAGCTTGTCGAGTGTGCATACGGTATTTCATGTTTCTATGCTCCGGAAGATATTCGGGATCCATCTCATGTTTTGGACTTCATCATCGTTCAGTTAGATGATGATTTGACTTATGATGTGAGTCGGTAGCTATTTTGGAGCAGCAGGTTCGAAAGTTGAGGTCAAAGGATATAGCTTCAGTGAAAGTGCAGTGGAGAGGTCGGCTCGTGGAGGAGGCTACTTGGGAGACCTAGCGGGAGATACGGAGCAGACATCCTCACCTATTCGAGGCTTCAGGTATGTCTCTTGACTCGTTTGAGGACGAACGTTTGTTTAAGAAGGGGAGGATGTAACGACCCGGCCGGTCGTTTCATGAGTTACCGCCCCGTTTCCCCCATTTCTACTTCTTATTGTCTTGTTCAGCTGTATTATGTGTTATCGGGTTGGTTGGCTCGGGTTCGGAGAGGTTTTGGTAAGGTTTGAGACACTTAGTCTCTTTAAGAAAGCTTAAGTTGGAAAAGTCAACTGGATGTTGACTTATGTGAAATAGGACTCGGATGTGAATTCCGATGATTCGGATAGCTTCGGGAGATGATTTGGGACTTAGGAGCGTGATCGGAATGTGTTTTGGAGGTCCAGAGTAGATTTAGGCTTGAATTGGCGAAATTGGGATTTTGGCGTTTTCCGGTTGATTGGTGAGATTTTGATATAGGGGTTGGAATGGAATTCCGGAAGTTGCAGTAGGTCCGTTGTCTAATTTGGGATGTGTGTGCAAAATTTCAGGTCATTCGGACGTGGTTTGATAGACTTTTTGATCGAAAGCGGAATTTGGGAGTTCTTGGAATTTTTAGACTTGAATCCGATGCAAATTTGGTGTTTTGATGTTATTTTGAGTGTTTCGAAGGTTGGAACAAGTTTGAATGATGTTATGGGATATGTTGGCATGTTTGGTTGAGGTCCCGAGGGCCTCGGCTGAGTTTCGGGTGGTTAAACGGACCAAAATGCATAGTGAGAAGTTGCAGATTTTTGGCTTCGGTTGTTGCAGGTTTTCCTTCTTTGCGATCGCGTAGGGAGTCTCGCGATTGCGTAGAGCTTTGATGGGGGCAGTTCAGGTTGTGCCTCACGATCGCGTAACTCGAGTCGCGATTGCGTGAGTTGGGCAAGTTATGAATCACGAACCCGTGGCTTTATTCGCGATCGCGTAGGTAAGGTCATGTGCATCGCGTTCGCGTGGGCTTATCTGCGATCGTGTAGAGTGAAATTATGGGCCAGCGGAGTTTGTGCTTCGCGATCGCGATGGTATTCCCGTGATCGCGATTAAGAAAAATTAATAGCTGGGCAGAATGTTTTAAAAGACCCATTTCGCGACTTTTAGCCTAAGTTCCACCATTTTTGTTCGTTTTTAGAGCTTTTTGGAGAGGATTGAAGAGGGAATCAAGGAGGAACACTTGGAGGTAAGATTTATGGACTTAATACTCAATCCTAATGTGATTCTACCTATTTAATCATGGAAATTGTGGAAAATAAGCCTGAAAGTTAGAAGTTAGGGCTTGGGAATTGGAGACCTAAATCTAGGGATTTGAGGGGCCATTTGTGGTCGGGTTTTGAAGTATTTGATATGCATGAACTCGTGGGAAGATGAGGGTTCCAATGATGTTAATTTTGTCAGATTCCGAGACGTGGGCCCGGGGGTCGGTTTTGGTTAATTTCGGGATTTACGTGGTAATATGAGTATTTTTTGCGTGGGCTTTGTTCCCTTAGCATATTTTGACGTCGTGATTCTGATTTTTGATAGATTCGACGCGAGTTGAGGCCGAGTCAAGAGGCAAAGGCATCGCGGGCTAGAGATTGGGCCGGATAGAGGTAAGTAATGATTGTAAATGTTGTTACGAGGGTATGAAACCCCGAAATTCACATCGTTGTGCTATTTTGAGGTGACGCACACGCTAGGTGACGAGCGTGGGTCGTGTACTGTTGGGGATTGTGACTTAGTCCGTCCCATATGATTGTTAATTTGCGTATTTGATTGAAAACAGTTTGCTATTATCATGTTTTGGGCTGAATGCCATAATTGGGCTTCGTGCCAATATTTTTACTGCTATTCCTCACTATTTTGACTTAGTATTTGTAATCAGTCATGCTATATTCTACTGTTTTCACAACTCAGCCATCTTTACTCGTTTTTGATACTTTAAATGATATTTTTGGGCTGAGCCTCATGTTTTTACTGTTGCCCGTGTGGCTTGTGAGATTCTAACTGATTAAGGCCGAGGGCCTGTGTTGTGAGGATACTCTGGGATCGGGCTGCACGCCGCAGCATATGGTACTGATTGTGATATATGAGAGGCCGAGGGCCAAATTTATTATGCCACGAGGTGGCTTGTGATTTATATGAGGCCGAGAGCCTATTGATTATGCCACGAGATGGCTTATTATTGCGCTTGGGCCGTAAGGGGCCCCTACCGGAGTCTGTACACCCCCAGTGAGCGCGAGTACCCAGTTTGTGATATGATATAGCCCGAGGGGCTGATGTTGTTCCATGATGTTGCCCGAGGGGCTGATACGAGTAATTATGAAATAGCCCGAGGGGCTGGTTCTATTCGTATTTTTGCCCGAGGGGCTGTTTGTGTTTCTATACTTTATACTTCTTTTAATTCACTCGTTTGAACTGCTAAAAGATGTTTTAAAAATGGTTTTACTGAACTAAGGAGTTTTATGAGCTTTTACTGTTTTTACTGTATGGTGTTGGTTTTACCCTGCCTCGTTGTAGCAATTTGCTGTGTATTTATATGTTTTCTTATCGCTCAACTGCTTTTACTTGTATTACTTACTGAGTTGGCATACTCACATTACTCCCTGCACCTCTGTGTGCAGATTCAGGAGTCTCAGGTCACGCTAGCGAGGGTTGATTTGCTTCCAGTAGGCTGTTTGGAGTTGACTAGGTAGCTGCTCGGCGCTCGCAGCCCAGTGCTTCTCCTTCCTACTTTTATTTTCGCTGTCCTAATTTCGTAATAGACTATGTTGTCTTTTCATACTCCTAGACTGATTTTAGATGCTCATGACTGGTGACACCCCGATGTCGGGCTGTGTTTTGTTTCCGCAGTTGTTATATTTCACTTTGTTTTGGGATTATCGTTATTTATGTCTTGATTATGAATCATTATATCTGTTAATTAAACTTAGGGTTTGTGTCGGCTGGCCTTGTCTTCACGAGAGGCGCCATCACGACCGGGTCTGGGTTTAGGGTCGTGACAACAAGTCAAACAACAGAGAAAAGGAGTCACAAAATAGGCTATTTACTTTACTTAGACTTCAAAATTCAAACCAAATATACGGAAAGATAGAATGTATGTCATAGCCTAATGTGCCAACATCAACCATGTCAATGAGTATCTCGGAGTAACTCAGTTTCTTCCTAAACTACTTCTAAAAAAATAAATAAGTAAAGTACCCGGTTCGAGCTACTGATCGGATCCAAGCCTGTACCACTATCGAGTGGCAAGGATGGTCGATGCAGTTTTACCCAATAAGGGTCGGGATCGATTTCCACATGGAGTTAATTGATTTGGAGTTAGGTATCTAACTAATCTAGATGTGCGTGTTGTTCCAAATTGCACCTCCAAACATGGTCATGATTGATTATACTATACTTCTAATGCTATACTATAATATGCTAGAATAAGCTAAGTACACTATTTTTGTTGGTTGCTGTCACACCCCTTTTTTTCCACCTCACACCCTCTTAAATAAATAAAAGTGATTTTGAAGCTCAAAAGAGTTTTTAAAATTATGAAAAGTGACAAAGAATTGTGTTCTAAAGGATTAACTCAGAGTCGCCACCTGGCAATTGGTTTCGGTGTGCCAGGTCACCATTTTTATTTAAAAAATGATTTTTCCTTTTAAAACCCTTTGGACTCAAAACTAAGTCGACACCAGAGATTTTAGGTAAGGGGGTTCATTTGACTCAGGGAGAAGGTATTAGGCATTTCCCGAGTCCCATGAAAGTCACAGTTGCATACTCGATCTAGTTGACTTTTAAAATGTTCAAATTGAGGTAAAAATAAATACAGAAAGAAAAAATAAAAACACAAGAGGCTCAAGGTCGCCCCTACCTAATAAAAGAAAAATAAAAAATGAAAAATGAAAAAAAAAATAAAAACACTACAAGTTCTACTTTCGGTCTCCAATTAGAGAATACTACGGGGCATTCCCCGGAATAAAATATATACAAATACTTCAGGGCATTTTCCGGATAAATTTTACTAAAGGAACGACCTCTCGCCTCAAAATCCAAACAAAAATCTTAAGGCTTGCCTACCCAAGTGTTGTCAGACTAAACATGCTCCTAACGAATAATATCATCAATAAAGAAAAATAAAAAGAACTAAATAAAAGAACAATTCAATTCATGATCATATTCTTTTGACTTTTTATTTTACGTATTTAGTCGAGCTCAATTCCCAAGGCATATAAACAATTTAATCACTAGTGAGCTCGGCTTTTCCCTATTCCCACGATCCGGCAATCAAACAAATATCCACCACACAATAGAGAATGAAATTCCGGATCACACAAAGAGAATACACACACAAAGATATATATATATATATATATATATATATGTGTGTGTGTGTATATATAGTTGATCAAAAATATGATAAGAGCCACCTAAAATTCCATTAAACACATTTATGCACCTCAGTTCTCAATTCCCGACCTTCCAGCTATCAGAAACACACATGTTTACATGCTCAAAATCATGAATTCCGAGTTATGAACCTCAGAAAAAAAGAAAATGCTCACATAGAAAAGCACTTTGTACCAAACTTAATTAACATGGGGACTTGAGAAAATGAATTAGTCCTTATAACAGGTCATTAGATCAACAAAACACAAAGCTATCCTTCAACAGATGCAAACTCTCCAGCCATTGGGAAAAGAAGCCAAAATTTAAACCAAGTTCACCAACGTTCCAATTTAGTGAGTCGAATTTCTTGGCAACATTAACATTACCCAAGGATACCAAGCAATCTTACAACAATGACTATCCGGGAACCAAATTTCCCTTTTCTTTTCTAGGTAAAAGGGTAACTCAATTCAATCAGCAGAAAAACGAAAGAAGAATTCGGTCTTTTATTTGATGCTGAGACGCATATGTAAGCACAGAAATGTTTGGAAGACAGTAACTGCTATATTCTTGACAAAATTCATCGTTACCAGCTTAGCTCAACCAGAGAGATGGATTAAATATCCGTGTGGACACATTTATTGGAGAGATAACAAGACTGTAAGAGAGAGTTGAACTATAACTAACACCAACGACCAAACATGTACATCACGACAGGGAAGAAACAAGCCTCGCAATAGGGTACGAACTGAACTAATTTATAATACGATCCGACTAAAACTTAGCAAGGAGTTGTAACATTTCTAAATGCCGAGTCAAACTGACCGTGCCGACAACGATCAGTGAACACCAAAGAACAAGTTCAGAACTCAGTTGGCACTTAGATTCAACCAAAGAGTTTAAATGATCAAATAGGTATCAAGTATATGGTTGCTTGAAATTGTCTTTCATTTGTAGTCAAAGAACTGATATGAATCGATGCAAGACCACTGCAGGGAACATCAAAGGACGATTTCAGAATCCATATTTTTTAGTTCTAATTCAATAAAACGAGCAGAAACATTCATAAAAACTGCAGCAATCACAAGACGGCTTCACACTCTTGTTAACAATCACAACAAATTCGAGCTTCATATGCTAATCTCAGAAATCAGTGCTTAATCTTAAACAGACAAAAATCAAACAACCTCTAACCCCATTAAACCCCTGGCTCTCATCATACTTGGATCGAACCTTTAAACATAAGTGAAGAAAAGAGAAGAAGATGAACCTGAGAATCGAAAATTTCTTCTAAATAGCAGAAGGTAAGAGGTTCGACAACAAAGCTTTGAACCCGAAATCCAAGTGAGAAAACAGAAACAACTTCAAACAAGGAACCACGACCGAAATTCACCAGCGGACAGCAATTTGAAACTCGAACTTGAACACCTCAAGCAATCCCCATGCTTGCAAATCAAAAATTCGAAGTTCAAAATCAAAAATGGAAAAACAGTAAAGAAATATATATATATATATATATATATTCTTTTTTTTTTGCTTTTTCTGGAATTTTTCCAAACAAAAGAAAAAAACATGAAGAAATTTTAAACCCTCGCACTCCTTTCTTTTTTTTTTTTTTAATTCTTCTTCGATTTTTCTCCTTTTTTTTTCGATGCTTTTTTTAATTTTTTTTTTAATTTTTAGAATCGAAAATTTCTTCTAAATAATAGAAGGTAAGAGGTTCGACAACAAAGCTTTGAACCTGAAATCCAAGTGAGAAAACAGAAACAACTTCAAACAAGGAACCACGACCGAAATTCACCAGCGGACAGCAATTTGAAACTCGAACTTGAACACCTCAAGCAATCTCCATGCTTGCAAACCGAAAATTCGAAGTTCAAAATCAGAAATGGAAAAAACAGTTAAAGAACTATATATATATATATATATATATATATATATATATTATATATATATATATATATATATACTATATATATATATACATATATATATATATACTGCGCGCGATCGTATACTGAGGTGCTCCCCGCCGGTTGTTTGGAACGACGCGAGCCGGGCCGGGTCTCGATTCAGAAAGATGAAGGCCCAAAAGTCTAAATAGGGGGTTACAAATTCCCCATCTCATTGGGGGCGGAAAACGACATCGACATCTCAATGTGATACAGCCCTTTCGATTTGAGTTGGGAAAGAAACGGCGAAGTCCATCCGAACCGCTCCAATGAAGAATAAGAGGAAGCAAATCCCAATGGCGCGGCGAAGCGCATTGCGGAACGGGCACGAAAAAAAAGAAGTGTGGAGGAGATGCAGCCGAGCTCATTCCCTTCGCTTCCTGGGCCCAAAGACAGTGCAGTCTTTCCTGGCCAAATCAAGGATTTGGGGCTTCTTGCTACGCTACAACACTATAAAAATCATTTTGATTAGTAATATATATGAATAGAAAGAAGATCCATCCATCTATCCTATTCGATTTAGATATTGATATCTAAAAAAGAATCAATTTCATTCAACGTTTGATTCAAAGAACTGCACTGATGGTATACTTAGTGATATACCAAACGATATTATATATATATATATATATATATATATATATATATATATATATATATATATATATATATATTATAATATATATATAAACTTGAAGAAATTTTAAACCCTCGTTCTCCTTTTTTTTGTAATTTTTTTTCGATTTTTCTGTCCGATTTCTCTCCTTTATAGTTCGAAATCGAACAAATGGAGTGTCTAGATTGACATTCATTCAATCTACGGCCCCCATTGATTCGATTTGAACTTGGAGAGCAAGAAAACGCGACAATAATGATGAGATTCGTTGGGATTTTTGCTACATGGAAGACGGAATAAAAGGAAGGGGGACCAGGGATGACGTGGAAAGCCAGAAAAATGCCTTTTCCGGCGGGTTTTGGGCAGGCAGTTGGTGTGAGGGGAGGGAGTGCGCCATTTGGTGTTCTTCATTTAGGGTTAGGGTTTGGTTAAGATGAACTTTTATATGGAGTTATGGTTTAATTAGGGCCATTGGATTTTTGGAGATGGATGGCTGGGATTTAATCGCGAAAATGGGGCAGGTCAACGGGATTTGGGCTTGGGGCGTGGGTCAGGGGTATTGGTTTGTTAAATTTTGGGCCTAGGTTTAAATTGGGCTCTAAAATTATACTAAATTGGGCTAAGAAAAAGCTGAAAATTCAATTTACTTCTAAAGTAATATAAAATACCTATATATAAAAATATAAAATAACTCTTAATTGATTTTACTATTATATTAAAATAAAACTAAAAATCAGAGTTGAAACTATTTGTTGTATTTTTTAAAGATTATATTAAAAATAAAAATAAGTTAAAAGTAATACATCTTTCTAAAATTACCTAATACCTGAATTAAATAGAAAAGATGAAATTATTTTTGTATTTTTTCAATTTTTTGTGCCTTTGAAAATAGAATTAAAATTAATAATAAAGTGAAATCTTATAGAAATAAGCTTAAGTAATATTCTAAAGATACTAGGACTATTAAGGGTAATTCTAATGTGCGGGTCAAAAATTACATGTCTACAGTTGCTTTCAAGGATTTAAAGGGACTAGGATAGTGACTTCGGCCTAGGTGGATATCTAACGGGTATCGAGAATTCAGGGCAGACTTGTTATGATTGGGGTCGTGATATAACCATCACACATGAGTGCTCACTCTATACCTCTCGGTAGTTTGAGTGACTTTTCCCGATTTGACTTTCTCAAGTCCAAATGGGTGTTCATGCATAACAAATGATATTGGCTCAAGTCGGGTATTACTATCTCTAGGTTTAACCATTTAATTGGGGCTATCAATCTCTTGAATGCACCCCAATTCCTTGTTAGCCTTATTTTTCTAGACTTAGTCCCTCTTTCTCAAGAAGAGTCTAAGTCATCAACGCGTGAATCAGTATTTGCAACCACCAATTCTACAATTAAATCATGAATTAAGCTAAATATCACTAACCCATAAACAATTAAGCCCTAAAATCCACGATCATTAATTATCCACACTAGGGTTGGGTCATAGCCCTAGCTATGAGGTTTAGCTACTCATAATAATAGTAGAAATCAAAGATGGAGATGAAATATAAGCCATAATATTCAAATACAATATGAAAATCTAAAGATTGAAGACAAATCTACTCTAAGATTACTCAAAAAGGTAAAAACTAGCCGTTTACGTGCTCAGCAAAATATTGCATACCCTAAAAATGTGAAAAAGATCTATTTATACTAGGCTAAAATTCCTGGATAAAAATTCCCCTACGGCAGTTTCGCGGAGGCGTAATTCTGACCGCATCCGCGCTTGAGCTCTCGCGGCCGCGAAATAGCGAGCCTAGTCCGCGTTTTCTCAATTCTAGGCTTGGGTTGGACATGGTTTCGCGGACAACGTAATTTCATCCGCGTCCGCGTGTGCTTCCAGCGTGATCATGTAATTTGGACGTGGACCGCGTTCTGCTATTAAGCATGACTTGTAGGGTCTCTGAACTTCAATCACAGCTCTCAGCGAAAATACCACCGCGGCCGCATCAGATATTCCGCGGCCGCGATTTTCCATTGCAGTCAGTGGTAGAACATGTGCTCAAATTAGCCTCTCCAAACTTTACTTTCGCGGGTCTCGTATTTGTGGACGCCTCAGCGGTGGTCCTCACGCGGCCGCGTATTTTGTCCGCTCTCTGCACTCCAGTTCCCAGCTTTGGATTTGTGCAAGTTTAACTGCTTCATGAGTAGATTATGGCTTCTTTACCTTTACGCATTTTCGACCCAAAACCTAAGCAAAAGAGAGCACATAATAGGTTAAAATCCATAGTTATCAACTTTCCCAAACTTAAGCTTTTGCTTGTCCTCAAGCAAACAAAGTAGTTCCCACCTCCACAAGAAAAAGAAAGAAAACTTCAGTTTTCCTAAGGTGACTTCATCAAGCATCAATTGGGACTAACAATTACCCTCAACACAAATGCATTATCAACAACACATAACCTTTTGAGTACCATAGTTCTAGTGCGACACAAGAGCATCAAGAGTTGACTTAATTCACCAAGGAAGCTCTCTCTACTACGTAGGTCATTGTGGAACACAAACTCTTACTCCTCTACTCTGCATAAGCAAATCTCACTTTAGATTGTAGCACTCGAAACAAGGATTGTGGACAAATACGCTCTTCTCTCTCAAGGGAAGGTCACAAGTCCGACTCTAAGTACCATAAGCTTGCCCCTTATGTAAATCACCACTAATGTAAGCTCACTCAACTTGAAATCATATAGGGCTTATGCGGGAATGTAATGAAGGCTTTTGGTTCAAGGTAGGATATATCGGTCTATGAAGGTTTCATCTTTCCTTAAGCACTTCATTTTCTCATTACGGTTCACACTTTCTTGACTCTTTGAGTCATTTTCTTCTTTGTTAGGGGACTAGAGAGACACACTGTCACTCTTTCTTGTTCATGACAATCATTTTTCTCCTTTTCTAATTATTCCAAGCCTTTTATCATTGCTTTCATTGAATCCCTTTATTTTTCTATACTATTCACTTTCTTTTTGACTTTTTGGCTTTTCTTTCTTTTGTTTTTGCCTTCCCTTTTTTTCATTTTGTACCTTTTATCACTTTCACATTCCTCGTCTCTCCCCCTAAACTTATGCTTTTGCTAATTGTGCTACGGAAAGATCGGGTGCCAAGAGAGGGTCATTATAGAACGGATAAAGGCTTGTATCATGGTTATTGAAAGAACAAGGTCTTCGGCTTAACGGGGTTGACTAGGGATATCTGTAAGGCCCCGTGAAAATTTTTACTCAAAACCCGAGAGCTCGTAGTGCCAAATTTCTATGCATTAAAAAGTCAAGGAATAATGTTTTCTAGAAAAGTGCGATTCTGCGGTCCAGTATGCGGTCGCATAATAGCTATGCGGACCGCATAGTTGCCGCAGGGTCAAGCAGTGTGATGGTTAATTTTGAGGTCAACTATGCAGCCAATTATGCGATCGCATAATCGATATGCGGGCCGCATAGTCGTCGCATAATCCCCTTGGAATTTTTGCGAGGAGCAGTTCTGCGGTGCATTATACGACCGCAGAACAGGTATGCGGACCGCATTCTTATCACATACCCAGGCAGTTTGTTCAGGTTTTTGGGAACATTTTTGCGGTCCATTCTGCGGGCCGCATGTCAACTTTGCGATCGTGTATGTGACCGCGGATCTGTGTCGGGGCTCCAAATTTCTAAATTTTAAACCCGACCCCCTGTCGTTATATCTTGTGCAATAGCTCATTTTGAGCCTATTTCCTGGTGCTTTTAGAGTGAGAAAGAGGGTCTAAGAGAGGGGAAGTGCTCTTCATCAAAAATTGCTCCACAAATCCTTGTTAAAACAGTGAAGATAATCAAGTGAGACACCTAAACCTTCATCCCAAGAGGTAAGACTTCATCACCTCAGCTCTTAATTTTAAACATAGCTATAAGGGGTCATTAGTAAGGTAATTCATGGGGATAAGGGTGACTACATTGCATGCATGTGTTCTTAGAAGATATGTGGAAATTATAAATAGAGAGGCATGGGGAAAGGGGCTAGTGTAATCTTGCATAAAAGGACCAGAAGAGCTTAATGAACACTCAATGCTTGATAAAATGCTCAAGCGAGCTAAGATTATGATCTTTCCCTGATTATGGGTTCAATTGTGCTACATTGCTTAAATAGATTGAAGTTGCGAACATTCCAGAACATTATAGGATTTAGGGATAGCTCAATTGAGGTATGTATGGCTAAAACCCCGTCTTTTTAGAAATCGAGCTCCGTTGGTGTTTGTGTAAATGCGGTAAGATTAAAGTTGGATTATTGTATTGATTGTTATTTCACATGAA